TTAAATTATAACTGGCTATCATGATTCCAAACTTGATTTTGTTGTCTCAACTTAGGACACTAAGCTTTATAATGACCTTTCTGCTTATAAAAATAACACTTATCAAAACCAACTCTTGTGTAAGGCTTATTCTAATGATTGGAGAATGACTTAGAGAGTACTGCTAGTACATAATGATTCAAAATAAGACTGAAGATGTATTTCTTTAGTTAATAACTCACTAACAATAAATTTAAAAAAAGTTAGTGGAGAACGATGCAAAACTGAACCTCTAAGTGTTTCAAAAAATCATTGTGAAATGTTGTTAAAAACTGTACCAATTGTTGCCGCTCTTTATGCTAAACATAAAAACAACATGCCTTTAATTGTATCGATTATATAAGAGCCAAATGATCCCAAAGACTTGTCATAGTATAACAAAACTTCTGAATACTCATATTCTTTTGATGGAGAGCTCGTATGTCATTCTCTAACTAATACTGCTTTGTAAAATTTGATTGCATGAATAACCTTTGTAGATAATCTCAATCCTCATTTGTTGTCTCACACTTCGCCAACTGCATATCTATGGAATGCTTAACAGAATTATTGATCCAATAAATAATCTTTGCATTGTTTGCTTTCTATGTATGTATCAAAACAACACCCCCTCCTCAATATTCTTGTGTATCACATAAGTTCCACTAATATATCCCCAGATCTTCTTGTCTTTAAGGAAATTTCTCATTACATAAGTCTAGTATGAATAATTATTTCCATCCAATTTCACATTTATATACTGGAGCGAATCATCTCTTTTGTTAGCCATAATTAACCAACAAAAAGAATTCAAACATAAAAGCAATGAAAGACATAGTAGCAGATTGTAGAAACTGAACAGTTATTACAGAAACCAAACAAATATCTTCTTAAAATTATACGATTACTCCAACATATAACATAAATTGCAAAAACTGAATGTAAATATCAAATTATAGAAACTGAATGCAAATATTAAATTGCAGAAGTTGAAAGAAACATGAAATACCAGATTCTGCAGAATTAGAAAATAAAATATCACTTCAAATTTTTTTTCCACTTCTTGCAGAAGTTGGATACACGAAAGTTGTGTTTGGAATTAAGTATTATTCCATAAAATCAACTCTGATATCATGTTAAATTAATTCATATTAATATATATAAAAAATGAACATAAAAGAGAAGGAGATTGAAATTCTCATTAATCTGTTGATTTTAAAGTGTTTGAGTTAACCTAAATACATGTTGATTTTAAAGTGTTTAAGTTAACCTAAATACAAAGGGATTATATATAGGTTAAACTAAGAATATTATTCCAGTCTTAATAAATAAAATAAAATTAAATGTATTATTTAACAAAAACAAAATACTTTTTAAAAAAATCAATTTTTTTTTAATAATGTCAATCAAGTAAAACTAAATCAATTTTAAATTATTATTTTTTAAATTTAGCTTATATTACAAGCCAGGTCTATTGGTTAAACCCAACCAAATTTAATAATTATAACACAAGGTTAGATGAATAATAGCACATTTTAGATTTAGCATAAAGTTATCCCGTCCCTCTATTTCTATTGGCATTACTTGCTAAAGGCAAAATGACCAGTGACCATTAATATTAATTTTAAGGGAAAATGGTAACTAAGCTAGGAGGAGAGATTAACTTCGTCACAAATCCAGATTATCAATTACTTAATTGTCTTTTTTGAAACCACAAATGCTAACCACCTACACGGTATCTCTTCTGTATCAAATTATCCACGTTCACTCACAAGCATATATTCATGGACATGTTTATACATAATGCTTAATTACATTGAAAAATATTAATTAATTTGGATTTCTATTACCAAAAAAAAAAACACTAAAAGAAAAGGAAATTTTGATGCACTCGTGAATCATTACTCGTTGAAATAATAATTTTTTTATAGCCTTTGTTTTTCATTTTATATTTTTCTTTTAAATTTAACTTCATTATTTAATATTAGATTTATTGGAGGAATTGAAATTTATAATTTATTAATTTATATATTTTGAAGTTATTTCAATTTCATTACCTAGAATGCAAGTTTGATAGATTAACTTGATTGATTCGAGTTTTTTTTTCATTTTCTTATTAATTTTTTTTTCTTTTTATATTAGATTGGTTATTAATTAGATTTTATAATTTATTTTACTTTGTTTATTATAAGATTATCATCATTATCTCACAATTTGGGTTATAAATTAGGTGGGTTGACTCGAATTAATTTTTGTTATCAATTTTTAATCGGTTTTTCAATTTTAACTTTATTATTCAATATTAGGTTTATTGTTAATTGAACTTTAATTTTTTTTAATTTAGTTTTTATGAGATTATTTTAGTCTCATGATCTAGATTTTGGGTTTAACAAGTTAACTCAATTAACTTTAGTATTTTTTTCTTTTTTTAATTAATTTTTTTAATTTCATCCTTTAGCATGGGTTGCTAAAGAATTAGACTTCGTGATTTGTTTCGGCTTGCTTTCTATGATGTTATTTTCATCTCATAACGCGAACCACATATAATAGATTAACCCTAGTTTACTTAAATTATTTTTGTGTTCTCTTTTAAATTAATTTTTTTAATTTTATTTTTTAACAACGAGCTAATAGGGAATTGAGATTCTAGATTTATCGCAGTCTTTTTTTTTGAGTTGTTAACCTGAGTTAACTGAGTTATTTTTTTATTTCATTCTTCAATATTGAGTCTATTGAAAATTAAGTTTTATAATTTATTATAATTTTTTTTATACGAGGTTATCATAATTTTATAATTTAACATATAAAATGACATGTTAATTCAAAATGACCTAATTTGATCTAATATATTATTGTCTTTGTATTTATATAAAAAACACATTTTAAATATTTATTTTAAATCAAATTATTTTTTATATGCAATTAAGATTATTTTTATACCTATCAAGTTATTTGAATTTTATTAAAACAATTTAAATATATTTTTTATTATAAAAATATATTAGTAATACCTAAATCTTTTTTTATATTAATTTGTTTTGACATGACTCGCAACGCAAAATAAATCGGCCACGTTACACAGTTATATCTAGAATCCGAACGAATGGTGATAACTAAGAGTCAACTTCTCTAGAACGTCAACCTTAATTTGAAACCACACAAGTTCCCCTTTCACTTTGGGCAAAAAAGAAAAGAAGAAGAAGTTGGGCCCCACATTTGAATTCATACAACATTTATTCAATCAAGCAATAAATCAATCATGTTTAATAACGTCTAATACGTATAAGATATTTGAAAATGTAGTAATATTTATTTTTAAAAAATTATTTTTGATATTAATTTATCATAATAATATAAAAATATCATAAATATATTAATTTAAAATATTTCAAAAATATTTTTCAACTATAATGCCGAATACTATTATATTATAACTTCTTATTTATACATGTGATGAAATAATAACCTAATGCCTAACCAGAGAGTTCAAAAAGTATTGCAACCTCGTAGCTATCTAATTCGTACAGGAGAATGAAAAGAAAGACATCATTGTAAACGTGTAACACGTTTTAAGTTTGCCTCAAACTCGTATTAACGAATGATGAAAATTCATACTAAGAGCACAATCATCATTTGATAACACGTGTATATAATCATGTAATGAATAGTATACATTTAGGCCCTCTTTCGTATCGCGAGACAAGTATTAATACATATTATAATTTTGCATGGTTCTATGATTTTTTTTAAAATATTGGTTAAAAAAAGTTATAATATATGATTTTTTAAAATTGTAACCACAAAAATTATTATAATTTTATATAGCAAAATATAATTTCAATCATGCGGCGCCGTACTCTTTATACTAACCCTTAATTTGGTTCCATCCGTGAAGCGAGGTTAAGTAGTCAATGAAGTATGAAAAGCAAGGGGAGTCTAGAATTTCAATGCTCACAAGCATGGTAAAACATTACCGACCATAATTTTCAATTGTTTTGATATATTAATTTTAAAAATAATTTTACTTTTTTTAAAAAGTATATTTTAAAAACTAATTTTCATCACCGTCCTAAACAACGCCCCTTGGAAGGTTTTAAAATGCTTTTGTGCCAATTGTTCAGGAGGACGACACCCATTTAAAAATAATAAAAACAAATATAATTGATGGGTTGATGACCTTCTCTAAGTTATTTACGCATTCAATGGCAAAACAAGTTGAATCCTTTTAGTCCCTCCATGGTTGTCTCCCTAGCTTCTAGCTAGCCGTGAACAAACTCACGAGTTGACCCGTTAATTAGTTTGAAGAGATCAAAACCCCCAGTCTTCCAAGTTATTGGAGGTTTGAACGTGCAATATTTTTCAGCGTAAACAGAGGAACAGGAACTAGATGCCGTTTGAAATCGATTTAGGTGCATGACAAGTTCAAAAAACAACGGTGAAATATTGTGCACGCTGAATGATTAAGAAACTCCCCGTGACAGAGTTGACAAGGAAAATAACATCCAAATTAATTTGATTACTTCAAAAGGGTGGTTTGGTGGCCTACATTTCTCCGTCCAGCTTACAATAATTTTTATTCTTTAATGCTCATACTTCAATATAATAATAAATAAATATAATTGTAACCCTAAAGAATAAAGAATGTAGCTTTGACGAGACATTGAATTTTTTCTTTAAATATCATTAATTTAAATATTATAGATCTTAGAATCATTAGAGATTTACATTATTTTTAATTTTAGAGTTTTGAAAGATTATTAAAGATATGTGTAAACTGATATGAATATTTATAATTAAAAATAAAAATTATAATGTAGTGAGTCGTATTAATAAATATATCCGTAACAAATTTCAAGCTTAAATTGTTTTAAACAATAAAAAATACATATATTTAAATTAGTGGATATGTTTATACTATGTACTATACTCTAGAAAAGGAGTAAGAGATCGAAGAAGATTCTGTTAATTATGTAGTCAAGTCCAATCATTCATACAATAAACAGGAGAAGAAATTAGAGTGTATAATGTTGAATTTACCATTTCAAATTACAAAATTGTTCTGAAAAAAAAAAAGAGTTTGAACAGAATATTCCAAAATCTTCAGTGTTTCAGAATGACCGTTTTAGATTTTTGAAATCTACTGAGTCAATGCATTCCAATCCAGCTCTGTAAGGATTCATCAGCTTCAAAAGTTCTGTCGCCTTCTCTTTGGTCTCACCCCCACAGCCCAGCTGTAAGAGCAACACTAGCTTCTGAAATATACCTACTTGAAGAGCCTCAACCAGGACATTCACGTCGTGTTCCTTTTCATGCTTGCTAAGCTTCCAAATGGCGGAGACTGAGAACTGGGTTGCCAATTCTGATACCCTTAAGATTTTCTTCACCAAGACTGGACATGTTAAAGCATTCCTAGAGGCCTCTTCTTTACCTTCTTCACAATCACAAAGTATGTCAAAGACACCTAATGCTGTCTCACTTGTGCTCTTTTCTGAGTCTACAGTAACTTCTAATAACAAAGAGAGCAGGCCCATCTTGACGAATTCTGATTTGATCTCTGTGCTAGTGGAGGGAGGAGATGAGAGTAGATAGAATATTACCATAAGAGAAGCTTTGGTGATTGTAGGGCAAATTGGTTCCTTAATGAGCCTAAATAGCACTTCATTCACCTCTTCAATGGTTGCCAGTGCTTCTGCATGCTTTTGGTCTGAAGAAGCAAGTTCTTTCAATGCAATCATGGAGTCTTGCTTCGCCGAAAGATCTCTACATTTCAAGAACCACACCAAGCAGCGTAAAGAATCTTGCGATCCTAAACGTGCTTGTGCTTCCGTATCAAGTGAATGTTGGAAAAAAGGAAACATCCAATTCATGTTGGATAATATCTCCTCCAACAAAGTAGCATTGCTTTCAAAAGAATCCCTCGCAAACGCTTCAAATGCAGCTGCAAGCACACGAATTGCTCCATTCGCTACGACACAACGCCTGTTACGCTCGCTTTCACTGCCCCATTTCTTGATTTTGTGCACCAACTCTAGGCACTGTAGTCCATTCAAACTCTTCACTGAATCCTCCAAACTAAGAAGAACCTCCGAGACCTGAATCCCCGAAACCGGAACTCTAGGTGTTGGGATTCGTTCGACGCCGTAGTTCCGATTCGCCACACCCCAATCTTGAATCATTCTCCTAAGACTATGATTAGGAATCTGATCCAAACTCCTTAGCACTTGATTTGTCGCCGGGCACGTAAAACTCCCACCTTCAAGCCACGCTTCAATGCTCTCCCGATCATACGTTATCCCAGAAGACAATGTCACCGGATCTTTCATAAGATCTAGAGATATTGGGCAAAGAAACTGGTTTGGTATCACCAACTCCTCGCCTTTCTTCAGCTTTTCCTGAGCAGCTCTCTTCCTTTTCCAGCTAAAAACCATTTCCCTTAGCTTGCAGAAGAGATGTGAAGGTCAGTTTCCTTGATGTTTTAGCTATTCAAAAGATACAAAGGTTTTCCTTGACAGTTCAGAAAATTATGAGATGGGGTTTGGTTGAGTTGGGTTTTAAAGAAGCAAAGAAACACGGCATGAATGCGCAAAAAGTGTAGCTTTCAAGCCGCGTTTAAGGTTCGCGTTCACATGGATGAATAGAGCACTGTAATGGTAGTGTATGCGGATACTTAATTATTTATTTGTGAAGGATATTTTGAATGTTGACCGTTGACAAGAGAGGGGAAGACACTGTTTGTCGTTTTGACGCGGTGATGAAGATTCTCCTCTTCTAATTTCTTTTTTATTTTGTGATTAAAAGAATGTTTATTTTTTTATTTTTTTAAAAAATAATTTTTTATTTGATTTAAATTAATTTTATTTTAGTTTTTTTAGATATTTTAATGTGTTGGTATCAAAAATAATTTTTTAAAAATATAAAAAAATCATTTTAATATATTTCTAAAATAACATTTAAAAAAATTATTATTATTACATTTATAAACATTATTTAAAAAAATAAAAAAATAGGGATCGCTAATGGTAGGGCCAGGTTTATTTATATAAATTTTTATTATTTTTATAAATTTATTTTTTATAAGATTATCAGTTAACTTTCTAACTGCTATAAAAATATCAAGGTATTATTTTATATATTTATATGTATAAAATGACTTGATATTGCATTAACCGACTATAATTGAATAGTTGAAGTAATCAAATAGATTTTACTCTATCAATATAAGGACGGGTTTAGCCCAAATCAAGTATAGTCTAAAAAAGTTCACACAGTCGGAAGACTGAGGCACCTACATGAGTGAGTTATTATAAAATATAAAGCCCAGCTCAAAAATGCTTTTTACCAGACCACTTATCTTTCACAATACAGAGCCTCTTATATTTTTATTCATTTGTAAAATAATAACTTACTTAAAATTTAAGTAAGAAAGGAAAACATTCAACCACATGAATGAAACATAGAAATATTCTAAGCTTGCAAAAACGCTTAATACTAGGGTTATCTTTGTTTTTCCCATACAACCATCTTTTTGGAAAATTTTAATTTTTTTTACTTTAAATTAATTTTTTAATGTTTAATATCAAAAATAAATTTTAAAAATAAAAAAAAATATTATTTTAATAAATTTCTAAAAACAACACTTTGAAACCAATACCTATCATAATATCAAACATGAAATAAAATAAAGTGAACTCTGAATATTAAGAGAAAACTAGTAGAAACATATTTGGACTTTGAATATTAATAAGAGAAAACTAGTAGAAACATATTTGGAAAAAAACAAATTGTTGTTTAAAGTGTTTTTTACTCCTAAATACATTAAAATACTTTTTGTAATTTTTAAAAATTATTTTTTATACTAACATATTAAAATAATAATAAAATATAAAAAAATAATTTTTAAAAAACACAATTTCACACTGCCCAGCTCCCATAGAATGCCAAAAACAGTCACATTTTTCACAAAACTGGTTTTATTCGGAAACTATATACAAATGGGATAAATCCCCCTCCCCCAAAAAAAAAATAATAAAAAAACAATTATCAGCTCCCCAAATCAGATTGTGGTTGCTTACGAATCAATCAACCCTGATCCAAACCAAAAACATCACACTGCAATGTCAAATTCACCTCGTTGATATCCTGATTCAAACACAGTTGGCTTATTCCTGTCTGATAAATGGAGAAGAGCTCATTTCCGTGCTATAAAACGAGTCATCCCCAGGGATTCCATACATGTTATCATTCTTTTCTTCATCCCATTTGAGGACCTCCCTTATGTACTTGAATGCTTCGTCCACTGAAGCACGTTCCCTAGCTCTGGTCTGCGTTACAAACAACTTTTGGCCACTAATTGAGGAATATAACTCCTTGAATTTCACTGCCACATAATAGTAAGCTTGCTGAGCCAGGGATTGACTCTTAAGATGGGGCCTCAAAGGGCTGAAGTCCTCAAACCACTCACAGGTAGACAGAGGGACCTGGCTGATCTTGTCCTCGAATGCATCATACTTGTTTAGCAAAAGCACAAAAGGGGTGTCCCTGAAACAAGGATGCCTAACCAGGCTCTCAAACATGTCTCTGCTAGCAATCATTTTGTTACAAAGAGGACCCGCACCATGGGCCCACATCTGGTCGTAGTCGCTTAATGCAACACAGAAGATAATTGCCCTCACATCTTCAAACATTTCCAGCCACTTGCAACCATCACGCAATCCCTTTGAATTTATGCGAATTAGTTGGTACCTGAGGCAATGGGAAATTCCCAGAGAGATGACAGAAAATTACTCTAAGCAGCGATGAAGGTACTAGATGATGCAGAAAGAAAGAAAGAGGATTTTTACTTGGTCAAGGGAGGTGGATAGTCAATGTTTTCATTGTATATCTCAGACATAGGGCTTCTATCATCAAATGAAAAATCCATAAATGCAAGACTGTTATTCTGTGTGACTCCTTCAGCATATAAAATGTCCTTCTCTGAAGGTTCGTACTCATTGCTCGATATCTCAATGGCCTGCAAGAAATAATATCATAATACATTACTTTAATATATTACTGAGTAATATATTTGACACAGCAAAGCGTTGGGCATCTAATCTACAATGATTATACTCCCATTCCAAAAATTCCAGAAAGGATGAGATAGGGGGAGGAGACAATATAAGGAAGAGCTGCACAAAAAAGAACATGGACAACTTCTAGCCCTTATAAATAAACAAAGCAAGAGTAGAGATGCTTGCGGCATACCCGGTCTAAGAAATATTTGGCAACATCGAGAAGATGATGCAATTCCTCCCTTCTCTTGTAAGTTTCCTGAATAGCACGGTCCTTCCAGATCTCATCCACAATAGGAGCATACTCACGTGTTGCAGCAGGAAAAAATGCATCCAAGTCTCCCGTAGCCATGATATCCAGTAACCAGTCAGAAAAATGCTTGCAGCGTTGATTAATCGAGTAGATGCAGCTCTCTCCTGGTTCAACTTCTCTTTTACCTGACATTATTCCAGGTTGAGCCACTTACTAAGGTTTATTAAGGCTGAAGGCAAGCATCTACTTGCATGTTATGCATATTCATATTATTATGGAAAGCAAGGATTTAACAATCTAGCATATTGCTCACAATCAAATGAATAGTAACTGTTCAAAATATTTATTCAAAACTAGGAAAACTTCATGCAAAAGTGAACAGGGTTCCGTGTTTTATTATAAATTAGAAAGAATAAGATGACAAAATACTAGTATAGAGACCTGAAGCGCATTCTTCAGAATTGATTGTAGCAGTACTCTTCTCCAACAAAGCCTCCTCTTCAAACCTCTCTCGTCCTTCAAGCAATATGCTAAGATATCTGTACATATTGCTTTGAATCATGAGTTTGATGTCCTGCAACTCGTTAGGAGTGAACTTATTCCCATATAAGAACTTGCCCTGTTCCATTGAAAGAGGAAATAATATCAAGATCACCAGGAGAAATATGATAAACATTAAACCAGCACCCATCTCCATGCAAAGAATTATCACAAGTAGAGCAAAAGTTCAGAAGAACAATGTGCCAAAGACCATTAGGAATAACAACATATTTACTTTTTCTAAACAGCTATCACACTAATAGATCACTAAGGTTATCATCTGTGAGGCGCCCCAATAGACAGTTAAAAAATAGCCCAAATAAAGATAGTTGTTTTCAGTTTTGCACTGATAGCTTGTATCTATCTTAAAAATTCAAAAGTTAAGCAATAGCGTAATCACACCAACTACTCAAATTACATGAATACCTGCTTTAGCTTCCAACAAGTGCGAGGATGTAACAGGTATCGATTACATAGATGAGAGGGGTATAGTTAACCGTGTTTTCCATAATAATAGCAGCAACATGAAATGATGAAAATAATAAATAAAACCTAATAAAATGAATGTGTGCAATAAAATCAAGTTGAAACCTAATAAAATGGATGTTTGTGATAAAGAAAGTCAAAACAAAAGTGATAAAACATGAATGTACCTGCTTGAAAATGGTACTCGTTCCAGATCCTTCCAGCCCAAATAACAGAAGTTTCTGGATCCTTCCTTGTTCCAAATACTCAGGCATAGACCTTCCTGAAAATGTAGTTGGATCTTCTTTTGGCCTGTTAGGATTTCCAGGTGGCACAGGCAATGAAAATATTGAACAGATGAATCGAGTAGATGCCTGCCTACCAAAAATCAGATGACAACTGTATAAAATTCATTTCAAAACCATTGGTTGAATTGAGACTTAAAAACGGATGGGAGGGATATTAAGAGATAACCTTTCCCCATATGTTTCCCTTTATGTTATTCTGGCCTTCTTCCTCATAAGATCCATCATCATACACCCAGAAATGAGTATCCCTTGGGCACTGTACGTTTGCAAGCTGAAATGAATGTCATCAGTTTAAGCAATGAGACCAAAGCCTGACCTCAGCCAAACTATCAGAATTGAATGATGCAGCCAATGAAGCATAGGCAAACGTATCATAAAACTGCAAACATATCACAACTGTATAGACATCAAGTATAAAAACTAAAACAGCATGTCATCAGTTTCCAATGTTGTGCCACTTTGGAAATGGACAAGAACTAAAACATCATCGGCATGTTTGCTTGTGCAAAATTCTCCAAATCTTCAGATAGTTTTCAAAGAAAAAGGAATTCTTTTAATAGTTAGGAATGTCAACAGTTTTTTGCTAGCCACCAGCAAAGACTAACATCTCACTCTGTCTCCCCAACACACACACACACACAACCATTTCTCCCATCCAAATCTCTCTTCATTGGTAGGGGAATATCAAAGTGGATTGTTTGATGCCCTAGAAGAGTGATAGTCTTGAAAAAACACTACCACCGCACTTGGCACCAAATGAAAATAAAGGAAGTTCTAGCTCCATTACTATAATGTTCAGGCACATTAGCAGGTATTTGCTGGAGCAGGTTCTTCCCTGCTGTAGTTCGTGGATGAAATTCTATCATTAATTTTCTATTTCCATTCATGGATTCTATAATCTCCTTCCTGACTTTTATGAACCCAGTCATCATCTATCTAAGATCAACCTCCTCCCAAGTTAAAAGCTATCTTCCATGTGAAACTTTAGGTCAACTAGACTCACGAACTTCTATAAGACTATTCCTTGCATCACACTAAACTTCATGCTACAGTTTTCAGAACTCATACAAATCATGACTATAATTAAGCATTTCTAGAGTGGACTAGTTTCGAACACTAGATTCATATCAGTCATGTATAGTATTTGAATGTAGGATCCAGTCACCTCATCCCCAGCAAAAGCACTAGGCTTTCTAACTTGGTTTTGCCACAATTACTAAGTCACTTGTACACCATGATTACTAAATCACACACACATACAAGGAAATAAAGATACCTTCAACATTCTGAGCTCAATCGTGGTAATTTCACGGCCATTAATATAAACCTTCGTATTTCCATTACTAGCATCCGGCCGAAGCTTACCACCAACATTCAATTTGGAACTGATAATCCTATCCGGTTTCTCTCCCTCCTGAAATCCAACATACAAAAACAATTAACACAATATAAACCCATTTCAAAAACCAAATAAACTTTAACAGTCTTTCTTTCACCTTCCCCCAAAGCCCCGAATCCTTATCATACCAATACTTTCCAGGCTTCAACTTCTGCGGCGGCAACGCACACCCCAAAACCTCAGCCAATTCCTCTTGTCTCAACTGCCTCCCATTCACAATCAACTGCTCCGGCCTCAACTGATTAGCAGCACACTCCTTCTCCGCCTTCATTATCTGTCTAACCTCCAAAGGACTACAAACCCTCGCCAAAATCCTCGAACATTTGCCTAAACTCGACCTCTTCGATTCCTCAATTGGTTTTCCAATACAACTCACACATTTCCTCCCTTCTGGCATTGATCCCATGGCTTTCAACAAACAATTGCTACAGTACCTCTTCTCACAAGCCAAACACGTTTCCCTCTCCTTCAATCTATTCTTCTTACCACACCTACTACAAACTCCACCCTTCCTCTTCACTCCTTTACTCTCTTCCCTCCTTGTCGTTGTCAAATCAGATTGCGTGGAGGAATAGCCATCCTCCTCATCTTCTCCTTCCTCAGTCTCCGAATCTTTCGGCGTATTAAACGTAACAACATTCCCTCGCCTTCCTCCTTCACTCCTCCTATCATTTTCCTCTTCATAATTTCCTTCCTCTACTTCTACTCTCTCTGGATAAAATCTTCTAGCGTTTCCGTTGTGGTTGCTAAATCTGGTGAATCTTGAAACTGGAGAGGCGACAGGAATGCTTGGTCTTGATTTCGATTCTTCGGTAGAAGCGAGAGAGGAAGTACGAATCGATAATGAATTGAGATTTAACGGATCGACGCGAGGGACTTCGTAAGGAACTGGAGGGCCTTCGTATTCGATGGCGATTGAGTAATCGAGATGATCTTCGTCTGGTAATGGTGCTCCTGCTGGTAACATCCTCCGTATTACTTCTTCCCACGCGTTTTCTTCCCCTCCTTCTGTTTCTATCGTCGTTTCCATCAGAGATTTTGTTTGTTTGATTGCTGAGAAAATGAGAGAAAGTGGGAGAAAATGGAAGAGAAAAGGAGGAAGCGGTTAGTGTATCTACAGTGGAAGAAGAGTCAAAGAAAGAGAGAGAGGAGACGGAGTTGGGTAACGGAAGAAGAAGTCAAGTCTGGTGGTTGCTGGCTATTCCGTTAGATTTGACGTAACTACTGATGGATAAGTAAGAAATATTTTTGTGCAGGTATGAATTAGTCTACAAGCTATATTAAGGATTTCAAATCAGTACCCACATTATAGATTCTGTCTAATTTACTATCTTTTTTCATGGACCTAGCAATTATATCACTCGATCACTTTTTATGAAGAAAATCTTTAGGAACTTGGTTTTATTTAATAACATGCATTCAATCAATCCAAATAACGAATTAATTTGTATTTTAATTTGTTTACTTAATCATGTTGAGGTAAACTCCCACAACTAATTTATTTCTTGTTTAGCCACAACTAAGCTCCAATTGTAGCTAGACCACATCGCCAACTTGTTTTGAGAAAAAAAATAATAACAACAAGGCTAAAATTGGAATATTAGTGGTTCTAAGGGTAGGTTTGATATTTCATCATAGTTGGGGTATTGAATTGTAGTTAGCCCAAAAGTTATGGTGCAATCTGGAAGCGAAAAGTCAAAAGTAGTTCAAATGTGAGCAAGTAACAAACTAACAAGTGTTCAAAGCAAAAATGTTTTTTCGTCGGTTGACGTTTGCTGCTAACCTGCCGGCGTGTCGTTTTAGTGAAAAGTCAAGTCAGGTGCCATCTTCGTTAGTTTTTATATACTAGTACTTAGCGTGATTTAGAGCGCGACACGACATTTAACTATCCTATTTGATCCAACGACCGATAATTCACGGATAGTTTTAGTGTATTAATATTTAAAATATTAATGATTTCTTGGCGTTTTATCCTTAAAAAACATATTAAAAATAAGAATAGTGATAAATTCATTATAAAAATGGTTAACCTAAGTTTTAATAACTTTTTTAAAATGACTATTATACATTTAATTATTAAACTCATTCCGACCAAATCTAAATAATAAAATTTAAATAATTTAAAGTTTAAATGGTATTGTAGCAACAATTATTTTATAAAATATTTTTATTTAAAAATAAATTAAAAAATTATATTTTTTATTTTTTAAAATTTATTTTAACATTAACATATCAACATAATCTAAAAATCCTAAATATTTTAAAAAGAATAATATTTTTTTATAAAAATACTTTTCAACCGCAGACTCTAATCTCTAATCTAAGTTAAGTTTTAGAAAAAATAAATTTAAAATTAATCAGTTATTACATAATTAATCAAATTAAAATTTAATTTGATTTTTTTAAAGAAAATTTTTTAAAATATTTTTTTAAATTAAAACAATATCATTTCCCTCTCAACCTATAATCCAAACCATCTACCTAAAATAGATTTTTGATTGTACATGATAAAAATTGTTACATGGGTACTTCAAATTGAAAAGGAAATGGTCTTTATCTAGAAGAAAAAAAATCATTAAGTGGGATAACGAATTTATTAATAAATTTAGTAGTACTTTAAAATTAATTATCCTTCCTTCCGGAGTTCTTTTCTGGAATAAAATTTACATTATATGTTTATAGTATATTGTTTCCTTATCTTCTAATTGTAAGGATTGGTAAGTCGTCTTCACTAAGCAAAGGGATATTTGTAAATGAAATAGATTCAATCTTAATTAGATCTTTCAAGCTCCATATGTGTCGACGGTAATCCTAAATCGTCGAATATTATTTCTTTTTTTTTTATTCTATCTTTACCATTTATATGTTTCTGGTGAGATTTATCATTAATTTTGTCTTGTTTTTTGCATGGCAAAAATTACAAGGTTTTTTAAGTACCAAAACCCCTTCCTTGGATGCAAGTGGCGACAAATGAGGCCTTGTGTACAGGGGGAGGAGTCATGAATTATTTTTAGGGAGCCAAAAGCCAGGAAAAGTTTTTGGGAGGTCAAATTTTAAATTTTACTGGTTTTATGGGGGGATATTATTATTATTATTATTATTTATTTGCAGGGGTTAGGGCTTCACTGGCTTCTCATCTCCGCCACTGCTTCTTTCTTTTTCTTTTTTACATAAAATGTTAAAATCTCTATAGGCTTCGGTGGTATAAAAAATGTTAGTATTAGAACCACGAAAAAACGCATAAAATAACATTATCATTCATACTCAAATTTTAAACATGAAAGTTATGAAATGATTAGAACGGGTTAGTTTCTAAAAACTGTAATAACAAAAAATCTAATTATTGGATTAAATTTAAAATTTTATAAATGATTTTAAAAATAATTTTTTTTAGAAACCACTACATACATTGAATAGGTTATTAAATCTTTTATAATCATGTTTTGAGCCCTATGCTTCTTTTATAACTTGTTTTCCTAATTTTTTTTAATTTTATGTTTTAATTTGGATTTTTTGTATATTTTTTATTTTTAATTGTTTTCTAGTAGAGGTAAAGTTTTTTAACTTATTGACAGGTCTCATAAATCTCTTGAGGAGATAACTATCATATACTTTATTTTTTAAAGAATAAAACTATGAGTTCAAGATTTACATTTGCAATTCTCTTAGCTCAGTGAACCTTTTATGTTTTTCATGTGATTTTTGAGTTGTAGCTGTCCTATTTAGCTTACACCTCCATCAAAAATTAAAATAGACCATTGCAAAGAGAGGGGAAGTAATTGAAGTGACCATACAATAATACCATGAATGAGTTGTTATTGTGTCTATATCTTATTTGTTATTTATCAAGTGAAAAATAAAAAAAATTATAATATATTCATACCAAACATTGATTAATTGATTTTTTTTTATTATTTCATATAAAATAATAGAGCATATATAGAGAGAGAGGATTAAAAATATATAAATATCTTACACACACTTAGACATTAGATATAATACTGATGCATATATCTTGGTAAATTAGATTTTAAACTATTATATGAACAAAATATCTATTTAATACATATCTTGGATTGAGTTTGTGAATTGCAAAGAGAGGGGGAGGAATTGAAGTAACAATACAATAATATATCTTGATAATATTCATATTATATATTCACTATTAAAATATCTATTTAAAAATAATAATCATCCACTTGCAGTGGTTCAAGTCAATATTCATCTAGATGGGGTTAAATTAAGCACTCTTAAATTGAAAAAGGCTTCAAGTCCAAAAGAAATTCTTTGGAGGAGCATAGTTGGCCTATTTGGATGAAAAATAAATTTAAATCTAAGATCACGAGACAATAAGAAAATAAATTATTATATATTTATAAGAATGGTTCAATATATGTCCAGGAAATTCGATGAAAATACCATTAACGTAGAATTTAAAAAAAAAAGAAGAAAAAAAGGAAATAATAAATGAAATAAATGTAAAGCCACAAAAGGATGATAGACTCACAACGAGACGCGTAAACTCATGTCAAGGAGAGCTATGATTTTGAGCTTTCATGGGCACCACAAGCACATTCCACAAGCTAAAACGTATGTGTTAGGGACGGTGGACATCTAGCCCCAAATTGGGTCCCACATTCAAACCCTAAATTGGACTGCCCTTCTCACCTTTTGTTTTGTCTTCCTCTAGTACATGGACAAAAAAAAAAAATCTTTACAGCCAAATTACCTAACAACCCCTCCATTTAATGATATATTATTAGCTACCCAACAAATATTGGGCTAATAAAATATAAGTAGAATGATTAGTGGGAGTATCATTCAAAACTTTTGAATGATTGATTGTCTTGAAAAATCATTATTTTTAAATAAAATATAATAATGGACCTTCAATTGTTTAGACATATTTGCATATTGTTTGTAGATGGTTTTATAATAACACTAGGAACATGGTTTTTGTTAGGTTTTGGAGTTTTGGTTGTTGGAATTTTATTTTTAAATATAATTTTCATAAAGAAATGTGAAATGGAAAGAAAGTTTTTTACATTTCTTTCTTATAAAAAATTTTTTTTTGGCAAAGCTTTTTCTTGCCAAATTAATTTCTATGTTTAAGATCTAATAAAAAAACATTAAAAAATCTATTTGAAGATTGGATGTTTTGTTTGAATATATTCAAACAAATCATATGAAATCTTACTTGTATATGTTTTTAAAATCTTAATTGTGCTTCTTATTTGAATTTTACTACTAGAAAATATTATAGTCACAAATAAATTATTCAAGATAATCTATCAATTATTTTATTTATGACTAATTAATAATTTAAAATACACAGTTTCATGATTCACTATTAACCATAACTTATCATTTTTTTAAAATAAAAATTTTGTGAAATTTGTTTATATAATTTGTGAATATTAAGTGAAATTGAGAAAGATTTCAACAACTTTTTAAGAAAACATCTGTTATTGACAAAATTATTTTTTTCTAATTTTTTTTTAATAAATATTTCTATCATGATAATTATTTTAAAAACAATAATGTATTATTAAAGAGTTTTACTTGCTCATTTAAGATTATAAAGTATGCTTTTTAAGGATAAGGTTTACTTAAATTTAAAAGAAAAAAATTAAGGGATATTTGAAAATATAATCATAATTGTTTTCAAAATATTTTTTACTAATAAATATATTAAAATATTATTTTTTTATTTTTTAAAAATTATTTTCAATATCAACAATAAAAAAAATTCAAAAACGTTTTTTTAATAAACCAACCAATGGCAAAAGTGAAATTAACTAAGATTCAAGGGACTTTAACTTATCTTGTAACGTCAGCAACGTTTATCACAATCTGACTCTTATAAATGGGAGTTGCGTGTCCACCAGCTCAAACAAACAACGATCACCTTCAATACATCTCTCTCTCTGTGTCTCTCAAAAGAAAAGGCTCTCTTCCTTCTATCTTTCGACATATTCGTTTCAGCTACTTAAAAGTGTAAGTATACATCATCAAATTCAAGCTAGAATCAACAATCTTCCTTGTTTTAAAGGGTTTTTGATGGAATCTAACAAAAGGGTTTTTGGGTTTTGTAGAGTGGTGTAAATGGAAGCAGCTACAGCTACTGTTATTGGATCTTCAATTGGGATCTCTGGACCTGGAAAATCTGTTGCTAGATTGGGTTTTTTAGCTACCAATAAACAAGATTTTGTGCGTTTTCCTATTAAGGTATTACCGGTTAGCCTTATTTTGGGGGTTTTGGATAATGGGTTTTTGGGTTTATGTATGAATTTTGTGTCCGAGGAGAGTATATGCTTAAATTATGCAAGCTACTGCATGCTTAAGAGCTATCAGTAAATGAAGTTTTATGTTTTACACAAAATATTTGTTCTAGGAGATGGATTCCTATGTGCGGTTTTGTTTGAATTTTTGTCAAAAAAATGAAGCTTTTAAGAATTGTTTCACGTGAAATTTTGAAAAGTTTATAATTTCTTTGGGTTTATTTGGGACGTTTAAAGTCTACTTTGCTGTTGATTTTCTGTATTTTGAGACTATATTTTGAAAGCTGGTGTTTGATTCCTCATTCCTCTTGTGTTATCTGGATTCCAGCGTCATTCTTCAGTTTCATACTCAAAGCTGGGTAGTCATAGGAGAGTGGCATATGGAAGTAGGAGATATATGGCAGTGAGAGCATCTTCGTCATCATCTTCAGATTCTTCAGGGTCGATTGTGCCAATTGCTCCGCTTCAGCTTGAGTCTCCGATAGGGCAGTTCTTATCCCAGATTTTGGTTAGCCACCCTCATCTTGTGCCAGCAGCAGTTGAGCAGCAGCTTGAGCAACTTCAAACTGATCGTGATTCTGAGAAGCAGAAGGAAGATCCTTCTGCTACTGGCACCGACTTGGTTTTGTATAGGTTAGTTTCACGATTGTGGTAGATAACTGTCTTTTATAGGTGCTGCTATTGATGCCGAAAATTGAATCTAATGTTGTGTTTTTGAAATTATTAGGAGAATTGCTGAGGTGAAGGCTAATGAGAGGAGAAAAGCCCTGGAAGAGATTTTGTATGCATTGGTTGTGCAGAAGTTCATGGATGCCAATGTTTCTCTGATACCCACCATAGCCCCCTCTTCCACAGAGTCATCTGGTCAAGTGGACTCTTGGCCTAGCCAAGATGAGAAGCTTGAACAACTTCACTCGCCTGAAGCATATGAAATGATTCAGAACCATCTAACTCTCATTTTAGGAAATCGGGTGGGTGATTCAACTGTTGTAGCTCAGATAAGCAAACTCAGGGTTGGACAGGTCTATGCAGCATCCGTGATGTATGGATACTTCCTAAAGCGAGTTGATCAAAGGTTTCAGCTTGAGAAGACAATGAAAACCCTGCCAAATGGTGTGGATGAGAGAGAGAGTGATATTCACAAAGCTGTGGGTCAGGATGTGAAACCTGGTGGTCGAGGGTTATCCTATCAAGCTTTGTCTTCCCATCCTGAAGCCATTTCTGGTGGTATCAGTCCTGGAGGATTTGGAAATGGATTAAAGGCTTCACGATTGCGAAATTATGTTATGTCTTTTGATGGGGAGACACTTCAAAGGTATGCGACAATAAGATCAAAAGAGGCTGTTAGCATCATTGAGAAGCACACTGAGGCCTTGTTCGGAAGACCTGAGATTGTCATAACGCCTCAAGGGACCATTGATACTTCCAAGGATGAACTAGTTAAGATCAGCTTAGGTGGTTTGAAGAGACTTGCTTTGGAAGCTGTTACTTTTGGTTCTTTCCTCTGGGATGTAGAGAGTTATGTGGATTCGAGGTATCACTTTGTTCTCAATTAAATAATGTTCACGAGCGTGCAGGCCAAAAAAAAAAAAAAAAAATTGTAGTAGACATACAACTGACCAAAGTTAAATGCTATCTATGTATGAGTGTAAAGCTGGTGGTGACTATAAATAGATTTGGGCTAATTTTTCTGTATACAGTTTTGATGTTATGTTTTCCTGTCTCGATTTGCATCTGTGCATTACCACATGGAGTTATTCTGTGCAAAGCTCGTCCTTGGAACTCATTTTTTGCGCTTCCGAATTATAATCAATATATGCAAGAAACTATGTAGTCGTGATGCTTTGAATTATTTGTCACATACCTGAGTTTGATCGCAATTACAAAACTGCTAGATGTATATTTTTGCTCTAAATATAATGTCATTTTTTTGTGTGTAACATATATAGTCACATTGAACTAAAAAGTGCACATCATGTACGTGGTGAATGTACAAGTGAAGAGAACCAAGAATTTAGAGCAATGCTGGCTTGAATTCACCTGGAAAGAAATAAGAAACAGAAAACCCGATCCTTGAGTTATAGTGGTTGTTTAGTGGGGAAAAATCACTGAAGAAACTTTAGCCATGAATTAGCTGTATAGCTGTAAATGTTTCATAGGAAACCTCTCTTTAAATGGTCTTTGATGGTTGCTAGCTGCAGCAATAGATGGAGATGGTATTAAGTACTAGTAACATTGATTTTCTCTAGCTAATGGCCAAGGGAAGCTTCGATTGGATTCAGAAATCTGTTGTTGTGTCTGTACCAAATTGTTCTGATATGGATTAATCTCAATCCATTTATCATTCGTCTTGGTGGAATGATCTCAGTCTTTTGTCACCCAATTGTCTTGTCGAACATGGCATGGTCATTCCACGAGTGTAACCAGATTCTGTGGGTTTCTGTAGTCGGATATACCACTTTCGAGTTGTCGTCACGGGGAGAAAATTAACATTGTTACCATCCATTTATGCATAATTTGCTTAGTTGCATTTTGAAGTTCAACTATTTTTCTTTCGATAGGTTTCTGTAGTTACTCTCAAATGTAAATTTCCTGAACCTGGTTTGGCAAGAATGTGCTCTTGATGTGATCGTATTAGTATAGTTACGCAGCAAACAGTTGTATACTTGTTTTTTAACAAAATAAAAATAAAAGAGCTATAAAGAGAAATTTCGAGCCTGAATGGTAAACATCAGGGTTTAGATTTGCCATTGCTTATCGTTCTGTTCTCTTCGTGAAATATTAGCAATGGTTTAAATGTTTCACGGTAATTACTCCATTCATCTCCTGGTTGGGGTTCTCATCGAACTGGATTAACATCTCCATACTTGCATTCTTAGAAAAGCCAAGATGTAAAAGTTTTTGTTTCAAAATCGACAGAATGATTAATCACTGCAATATATATTTGATGAAGAGTGGAAAACACCTGTTTTCCATAATGTGGTCCTAGATGACAGGGTTGAGCTGCTTAAACAGGTTCAAATTGTACAGAACTTTGCCAAAAACATCATAGAATACTATCTTTACATGTGTCTGCCTTAGTTCCAGGGACATGAAACCTTGCCCATCATAATAAAACTTGGCTCCTCTTTTGTTTAGTTGATCAATATCCCCTTTCCATGCCTTCGATCCACCTCCACTTGTTAAAAATTGGATTTTATTTGGCTGCATAAAGAGTCAAGTTCTAAAATCTTGGTGATTTTCGTTTCAATCCTCGCTGTGAAAAAATGTCAATCTATGTTTTTTATAAACATACCTTGTGCTGCTGGTTATGTGTTCCAAGCAATGATCATGCCCATTTATGTACATTTCAACATTGTTTGCCTGGACATTCAAGACGTGGTTTGTTAGAGAAACGCTTTGTTTGTGACAATCTCAATCTCTTTAGTAAGATTAGCTACCTCAAGTAGCGGGAGAAGTTGCTTCTTTAGCTCCTTCGTTTCCCCATGATGGCCAATACTTCTGATAGTATGATGCCCGACAACAATCTTCCAGTCAGCGGTGGAGTCCTGCAAAGCTGATTCCAAGTCCTGTTGCCAAACATGAAAAAGATGTAGGATTTGGGACAAAAAACAAAACGTCGACTGCACAGTACTTGCATAAATGTACTAGGATGAACAGAATGACTAACCTTCAAGAGGTTAGAAAGATAGTGCTGCCTTGGCATCACTCCTCTCCAATCATAACGATGGTGCTTTGGCTTCAGAAAGTACTTGTCCACAAATGGAGTGGTGTCGATGAAGAACAATTCCACAATTTCTAAGAGGATGTGAAGAGAAGTTTGAATTTAGTTAAGCGAGAGGCAATGTTTCAGGACAAAAACCTCAGTGAGGTGTGAGGTTTGATATCTACTTGCTATAAAATGTTGAATAATTTACTGTTCATAGTTGGAGATGTATCTTACCTGCGTTAAGAATGAAAGATCTCAGGCAAATCCATCGGCTTTCTATATTCCTCAGGCTCGGACTTAATTGAGCCTTGACATTTCCCCGGTAGTCATGGTTGCCCAAAACTGAAACCAGAATGTTTTTCAGAACAAGAGATAGGGTAGGACTCCCACATTAGCAAAAAGGATTCATGTATTTGTGCATTCTTTTCATTATAAGAATTAAACCCCGTCTAGCAGATCAATAAACTGTCAACCTAGACCATGACTTGTGCTTGTTGTTTCTTTTCTCAATGAAACTCGGCCCTGGCTAGCTCTGGGTTGACCTGACAGGCTGATCGAGGTTTCTTAACAATTCTTTTGATTCTAGGACTTACCACTGTACCACTGCTTTTGAAGGCTCTTTGCAGTATAGATTTTGCTAAATGACTTCTCAAACACGGGGTCATTTATGCTTCTCAACCCGTCCTCGTAAAAGTTGTCTCCAGTAGAAACAACGAAATCAATGCTCAACTCTTCTCCTATTCTTCCCATCTGTAAGAAACTTGAGAAATCAAATGAATGTTCTTGCATTGAATGAATTATCACCACTTAGTGCCTCCATCAAACCACAGCATCAGTTCATATCTAATAAGCATGAGACATCTATATATGTATATAACATGATACTGAGTGTTAAGACTTTAAAGATGGCTTAAAAATAAAATAAAAAACCTGAAATGCAACATTGGATTGATTATAATTTCCTTTTCTTCCCCAGTCTCCAACCACCAAAAAGCTAATTGAGCCATCATCCTTGGTAGGTTGCTCGAATCGCTGAAGCTCAGCGAAGGCACAAAGAACATACACATGGAAGCAGGCCATCCATACGAGGTGCATTGAACTGAAATGGTGACGGAAACTAGCCATGATATCCTGAAAAAGAACTTTTTAGTTAGCAGCTTTGGTTTGGAGTGCAAAAGATGTGAACTCAGGTAACCTCTTTGAAGAGCATATAATGTGGTAGCTGGACACAAAAATGGTGGTGTCTCTAAAGATGTTCAAAGTCGAAAAAACCACCTGTTAGCTAGCTACAGATAGTATCCATGCAGATTCAGGATAAGAGATTCAATGAAATGAGGGCAAAGGAAACTTCATTCTATTAATGGACTAAATTCATCCGTGGTCACCATCAAAGTCCACTTTCCTGGAAATTTCTTGTTTTGTCTTGCTCAATACCAGAAGAGACGTAAACCTATGAAGGAAAATCATTGATAAGCAAGAGAATTCAAGGAACGAAGATGGATTGAAGGTGGCGGTGCTATATTGGCGCTTGCTTGATGTCACAAGGCTGCTGTCCTTTGCCTTGACCCTGACAATCCATACTAAAAAGTTGGCTCTGCAAGTCTATCACCATTGGGTAAATAAACCTCGCCAATTTCTCACATTGGCTGCAGAATTATTTGCCATTCACCAATCTCATCCTTTGACTCTACTGTTAGTTACAATTAAATTGCATGTAGTTATCAGGAAACTGGATTGGTTCTTGTGTTGAAGCACTGATTTACCAATTTTTTGGGTGCAATATTATCGCAAGGCCCATTTTTGCTTTCCTTTTTTTTTTGTTTAATAAAAAATTCAGTGGGGTTTGGTAAATAGTAAAAGCAACGGAATCCCATGAAGATTGCTAGAAGCTCTCCATCTATTTAATCATTTTCATGACATTATAGAACTCTATTTTTTTTTCTTTTTTGAGGTGGCCCCAACTCACTATTATCACAGTGCTCAATGACAAATGGAACATGAGCTCAATAATGATAGGAAAAAAATAAAAATTTATAATAATGACAATCTGTTGGCTATGGATCCCTAGGTTGATGAGTGGAGCAACTTTGTTGTAATCCATCTATGCAAAACAGTGCCCGAAACATCATAAAATGCAATCTCTGCTTCATTCTGAGTCAACTGCACAGACATGAAACCTTGACCATCGTAGAAGAATTTTAGACCATCTTTGTTTTGTTCTTTAATGTCACCCCTCCATGCCTTCGACCCAGCTCCACTGGTTAGAAATTGTATTGGACTGTCAAAAAAATGTCCATCATTAGTAATATTTTCAAGAACCCTTTCCACTAAGCAACACAGTAATCACTTAAGTTGTACCTCTCAGTGTCACTGATGTGTTCAAGGCAATGGTCATGTCCATTCATGTAAAAATCTACATTATTGGCCTGAATGTAATGAATAAATCCTAAATTAACATCTATATTTCAAGTGTCAAGTGGTCATAGTTGGTATAGTCTTTATAGATATATGAGATGAAGGAAGCACTTAAAACGTAGAAGCTGCTACCCACCAGCATTGACGATGAAAGATCTCAAACATAGCCACCTGCTATCAATTTTCCTAAGTTGTTGGCTCAATTGTGCCTCTGCATTCCCCCTATAGTCATGGTTTCCCAAGACTGCAAAAGAAGAGAGAAAGAAATTTAGAAAATTCAAATCAAGTAAGATCAACACGTAACTTCTCATTTTTATTTGTGGAAAAAATCATTCAGCCAGTCGCCAGGTTTGGTACTCACCACTGTACCACTGCTTTTGCAGGCTATTTGCAGTGTAGATTTGAGAAAATGATTCCACAAATGCTTTGTCTTGCTTACCAGTCAATCCATTATCATAGAAATTATCACCTGTTGAAACTACAAAATCTATGTCCAGCTTCTCTCCAATCCTTCCCATCTGTATCCATGCAAATCAAAGGAAGATTAGCAGGTACGTGTTAGTTGATCAAGGAAAGTTCATAAAGAGATGGGAATGTCAATTACATGCTGCATGACTCTCTCTCACACACGGAAATATGAAATAAATCACAAAAAGCAAAGAAGCTGGAAGAACCTGAACAGCAACTTCAGACTGGTTGAAAGCACCCTTTCTGCCCCAATCTCCAAGCACCAAAAAGGAAAGAGTCCCATCAGTTTTTGCAGGCTGTCCAAATCTTTGAAGCTCTGCATGTGTAGAGACTAAACACAACCCAAAACCACATATCACCAAAACAAGGCATAGAGCCATGCTTTTGTTATTGAGAATGAGACCTGCCATGTCTCTCTAGCTAGAGCTGGACAGAGAAGAAAAGAAGGATAGCCAGAAGAGAATCTTGCTGGGGGTAATTCTTTGTACCCTATAGCAAGCAGCTCGTGAACTCGTTTCTCTACGCTGCAGCGAGTCCTGTCCAAGTCCTATAATTTCTTTAGTCCATTAACCTATTTTTATAGACCAAAATAGCTAGTTAATTATTAATTATGAAATAAGAAAACCATAGATTTGACAAGTCGAGTTTGGCAAGGAAACCATGACATCTCTAATGATTTATTTGTTTTTGATTGCGTTGGCGATTATTAATATAATTTCAAATTATAAAAAAATAATTTAAAATAAAAAAATAAAATATTTCTATTTTTAAACATTGAACCTTGAAACTAATTTATATTATTGAAAAAAAAAATATTTACAATTTAGCAAAGACAAGAAGTCCATTACTTCACCACCAAAAATTCATGAATACCAAGTGCTAAAGGTTTCACAAATAATTAGTTGGTTGGTATTAGACTAAAACTGTACTAGATAACACAATTTCTATTTATATGAACACCCGTATATTAAAGAATTATTATTATGTTTTTAATGTTTAAAAGACAGGAACAAGGGATATGCGAATATGCCGTAGGATGGATGTCCGAATAAGGAATTAGATCCTATAGAATATTCGGCTGTGATTAATTAAGATATTGGTCCAGGAATATTGAATTATTCGTATCTATTAGCTTTAGTTTGGGCGAATCGAGTGATGCAGCAGAAACCTGTAAGGAAAGCAACTCGTAAGCCGATGAAGGCACACACACCAAAAAGTCTCTCAACCCACTCTTCAACCACCGTTTTTACTCGAGTATACTTGTTTTTTGGTAACGAAATGTTTTTAAATATATTTAATTATTTTAAATTACTATTTTAATTTTTTTATTGTTTTAATACACTATGCTAAAAATAAATTTTAAAAATAAAAAATATTATTTTAATATATTTTACATAAAAATATTTTAAAAAACAATTACAACTATAACCTCAACGTCCTCTATCATTTATTACAAATTTACAATCACATGGCTCAAAATTCTCAATAATTTCATTAATCAACACCTTAAAACACCATAGGTTTCAATATTTACTCCAAAAGGATTTTATGTTACTGATTATTGGATTAATAATTTTTATTAAAATAATATTTTTTTAATTTTTTGAAAATAGTGTTTTAGTGTGTTGATCCAAGCAATTAAGTTTCATAAAATCTATGTCTTTTTTATTCATCTTGCAATTCAATTCAAATTAAATTTTGAAGCGCAAATTTTTTTAAGGTTAGCAGCTATAATGAAGGTGTATTATTGGAGTCCATCGAGGAAGAAGATACCTCTCTTGATTTTATTTATTTATTAATTCAAGGTATGGTGCTGATAATCATCCTCGTGTTGCATTGGCTTTTTGTAGTCCATCGAGGAACAAGATACCACTCTTGGTTTTATTTATTTTTTAATTCAAGGCTTTTTTTTTTTAAAAAAAAAAACAAAATTGAAGGTATATTACTGATAATGCAACATCGTGTTGCGTTTGGCTTTCTGTAATCCATAAGGAAAAAGGTACCACTCTTGATTTTATTTATTTTCTAATTCAATGTACAGTACTAATAATGCATCCTCGTGTTGCTTCGGCTTTCTGTGATTTTTTTAGGAAACAACTCTTTATTTATTTTTAGATAATGTTGGGTACACAGTACTAGTAATTATAGTTATTGATGAGTTAATCTAAGACTTAGTTAATTCAATAACTGGATTAATTTAGATAAAATAAAAGATAAAAATAAGTGAAAATCCATCAAAATTCGATTGTCGTGTAATTCAGTAACTCTTTTTTTTTCAATTATATTTTTTTTTTAATTAGAGATTTTTTTAATATATTTTTTTATTGATTATTAATTCTTTTTAAAGTTCACTACATAAATACTAAATACTAGTAAAATATTTTATTTTTTTAATATAAAATTTAAAATTTTTTAGTATATATATTTTATATTTATAAGAAAAAAATTATATTTTTCAATGTGGGATAAAAAATATTACAAGAAAAAAATTATATTTTTTAATATGGAATAAAAAATATTTTTGGTTTAAATACTTTATCTTAAAAGGATAACATATTACTATATTATCTTTTTAATGTGAAATAAAAAATCATATGAAATAATATTTTAAACTTTATTATTTATAATATATATAGTCTATATTCACTTGTTTCTTAATTTTTTCATATAAATTATGAAAATTTTAATTTTTTTAAAATTTTTTTAGGTTGACTCAGGTTAACACGTGTAATCTGGGACCCAACTCCTTGGCTGGGTCAACCCTTCAAGTCAGGTCTAATAACTATGATAGTAATAATTATTTTTTAAAGCATAATTTTTTAAAAATATATTAAAATAATATTTTTAAATTTATTTTTAATATAATACATTAAAAAAATATAAAAACATAAAAATAATAATTAATTTTTTTAAAATACAAAAATAAATATACTCTTAATCATCAATGCATTCGAATTGTTTATATGATGAAAGTAGTAAAAAGAATTTGTATTATTTATTGAATTATTTTTTCATGAGCGACTTTAACAAACAGCTGCAACCACTTCATGATATTAATAAAAAAAATCTTATCATATATCTACAGTGCATAGAAATAAAATATATTAAATACAAATAAATATCCTCTTCGAACTATCTTCTGATAATATCCGAACATCAATATGTTGCATTTAAAAAATAAAATAAAATTAAATGCTAGTCTGGATCGAAAAATCAAGAGAGAGGAAACATGACCGACCATCTGGGGTTAATTTTCTCAAACACGTAGCAATCGAAGATCAGTTTCTTAAAAAAAGAAAAAAAAAAGGAAAAAAAAAAAGAAGACTCCTCGTTCATCATATATTATATTTAACAAAAGAACTGGGCCCGAACAATGAATGGCCTTTGGATCATAGTGAGGCCCAGGGACCAATAACCATGCCCATATGGCTAAGCTATTGCGGGCTTAGCTTGAGACCATTCTGGAGACAATAAAATTCCATTTCCCAAATAACTGGGTTCGTAATGGATTAATTGTTGGGCCTGCTGTGAATTTAAACAGCCTGGATCTGCTTGTTAATGGGCCTTTAGTGTCTCCGTCAAATGACACCCGGTTTTACCCCAACCTGAAACCATAGCCCAAATCTCATATTATCTGTTTGCAGTCTCGATCTTGAACACCCCACATCCCTTTTATTTTTGTGCAAACCTAAAAAATATCATGTAGTTTTAATGTTTTCACTAAATGTTTTTTTTTAATGTAATTTTTACTAATTATTTTTTAAGAGTTATCAATTAAATGCTTTCGTACAATATTAATATTTTTTGTTCACATTTCTATCCAAATTATAATGTTTTTTCTTTTCTTTTTTAACAAATGATATCATTTTATAAGGACTTAACGTGTTTTCGGTAATTGATTTTTTTTATAAAAAATATAATTAAGAAATCAAAATGTTTTAGTGATAAAATTGATGAAAAAAGATTTGAGTGTAAAATTGATAATACTCCAGTAAATTGGTAGTGCATTTGATGTTTATTATCCTTTATGTTTAATTATCATATAATTGACCATGTACCATGGTACATCTGAATTTCATATGTTCAAGGGACGTCTATTTTATGATTTTTTTTCCCATTTAAGTATACATTTTGTCAATTTCATACATAGCATGACATAAGATATCCATTTCTTAATTAATATAGTTAAAATGCATGCAAAGGATAGCACAACAATTAAGATTTGAGATTTTCAATTAAAAAAAAAACCCTAGTTTAAATCTTAAGAAAAGAAGAAGAGAATTAAGATGAGAAAAGACTACCTCCAAACTTATAACCATGGTATTCATTTGGATAATATTATGGTGATGAGGGAGTAATTAGTAACATCATATAGTTACACCCTTATCCATATTGAAAAAAAACACATAAAAAAGAGAAAAAATAAAATTTATGACTCATTAAACATGATAAAAATATCTTTAACTATATTTTTCTTCTCTTATTTGTATTTATTTATTTTCATTAAAGTTGGCACAAGAAGTAAACAATATAATAATATTAATTATTCAATAAGCATCATTAAATTTCTTGATTCATTAGATCTCCTGATAAACTATCAAATAAAACTAAAATGTAATCTAATTGTAAAAAAACATATTATAGTTTTTAAACAATAAAGTATGGATGTCATTTAGATGGGATGATCTCACTATACTTGTATTATCTAAGCTAAAAATAGTCATAACCCCATATTTAAAGCTTGTATAATATTAAAGTAGTGGTTGTTTTTTAAAATATTTTTTATTTAGAAATATATTTAAATAATATTTTTTATTTTTTAAAATTTATTTTTAATATAATTATATTGAAATGATTTGAAAATAATTTTTTTAATTTCAAATAAAAAAATTAAAAAAATATTTTTTTTAAAAATATTTTAAAATATAAAAATAAATATATTCTTAATGCATGTTTGGTATTGTAATTTAATTAACAAATAAAAATACAGATTGAGTTAAAAAATAGGTGTTTGGCAACCCTTTTAAAATCAAGGTTCTGGAAACCTAGTATACTTAAAAAGCTTGATTTTAATGCCTTTTTTAAAATCATTGTTTCACGCAATCCCAAAAGAAGCCCTCCTTGCATTTTGGGTTGAGTCATGAGTTGTCACTTGACACTATCACGTGTATTGTTATATGCAATTTAATGTTAATTTTTTTAAAAGGCTGAAAATAATCTAGTTTTTTTAAATTATTTTTTTTAACTATTTTTTTAAAATAAACCATGATGCTAAGATATTTTTTTAATATCAACTTGATGCTATAATATTTTTTAATATCACAATAACACATAAAAAAATTAAAATAAGTTATTAACTCTAAATTTCCATAAACACATCATATAAAGATTAAATTAAAAAAAAACAATAAAAACAATCGTCAAACTAAAAAAAAATAACAACACCACCATGAATTACTAAATTTCCATAAACATGTTATTTAAGAATTAAAGTAAAAAAAATCAATAACTCAAAGAAAAAAAATCAAAATAAAAAACAACAACA